GTAGGGAGGGCAAGGGGCTGGGGGAGGCACTGACGAATCTGCTGCCTACTCGTCCAACAGATCCTGAGTCCATCCTGTGGGCAGGCACTGAGCTGGATGCAGGGGTGTGGGGGAGCCTGTCTCACTAGGTCCCAGCTCTGTGCTAGTAGGGGAGCGAAAAGTAAAAATGCCAGGAAAAAAAAGCAAGGAGGGATGAATCTGGTGAAGAAAATAAGAAAGAATTATTAATGGCCAATGGAAGGGCTATTTTAGAATGGACGTCAAGGAAGATCTCTCTAAGTAGATAACTGTCTAACACCTAAACAAAGGTTTTTTCTCTTCCGGCATTAACCTAACAGATCCACCTACCGTCAAGGAGATGCCAAATGCCAAAAGTAGCCCCATTTAATAAATTATTACAATAAAAAAGGAACAAGCTATTGATTGATACAAGCACAATTTGGATGGATGTCAAGGGCATTATGCTGAGTGAAAAAAGTCTCCAAAAGGTTACGTATAGTATGATCCCATTTATATAGCATTCTTGAAATGACGAAAAGTATATAGAACAGCTCAGTGGTCACCAGTGTTAGAGAAAGATCTGGGGAGGTGTGACCGACCATAGAGGGTTGCATGGAGGAATTGCTTTGTGATGACAAAACTATTCTGTATTCTGATGTGGTGGTGGTTACACAAATCTACACATGTGATAAAATTGTATAGAATTTGCACACACACAAATGAGTGTACAAAGGTCTGCACATTAAACCAATGTCAATTTCCTAGTTCGATAATGTAGTACATTCGGTAACGTACTAGGACGTCACCATTGGGGAAGCCGGGCAAGGGCACGTGGGACCTCTCTATACTTTTCAAAAAATCAAGATATAATTCACATATATAGAATTGCCATTCGAAAGTGTACAACTCAGTGTTTTCTTAGTATATTCACAAGGTTGAGCCACCATCACCACTATCTTTTTCCAGAATATTTTTATCACTTCCAAAAGAAACCCTGCACCCTTCAGCAGACTCCCCATTCCTGCATCCCCAGCCCTGGCAGCCACTAACCTACTGTCCGTCTCTATGGAGTCATCTTATTCTGGATATTTCCTATAAATGGAATCCTACAGCATGCGGCCTTCTGCGTCTCGCGTCTTTCACTCAGCGTAATGTTTTCGAGGTTCTTCCGTGTTGCAGCACGTGTCGGCACATCACTCCTTTTCATGGCTGAGTAACATTGCACGTCATACACCGTGTTTTCTTTATTCATTCATCAGTTGATGCACATTGGGTTGTTTCCACCCTTTGGCTATTGTGAATAATGCTGCTGCGAACATCTGTGTACAAGTTTGTGTGTGAACATATATTTTCAATTCTCTTTGGTCTACACCTACAAGCGGAATTGTTAGGTCATGTGGTAACTCTACATTAACTACCTGAAGAACTGCCAAACTGTTTTTCCCAGGGGCTGCACCTTACTTTTGCAATCTCACCAGCGAGGTATGAGGGTTCCAGTTTCTCTACATGTTCACTAATACTTGTTGTTTTCCTTTTTCTTTTCTTTTCTTTTTTTTTTTAAATTACAGCCATCCTAGTAGGTGTAAAGTGATGTATCTTTGTGGCTTTGATTTATATTTCCCTAATGACTAATGACGTTGAGCATCTTTTCGTTTTTGTTGGCCATTTGAATATCTTCTTTGGAGAAATGTTTATTCAAAGTACTCTGACCATATTTTTATGCATTGTCTTTTTGTTGTTGAATTTAAGAGTTCTTTTCTTTATACATTATGGATGCTAGACCCTTATCAGAGATATGATTTACAAATAATTTCTCCTATTTTATAGTTGTCTTTTTACTTTCTCAATAGTATCCTTTGAAGCAAAAATGTTTTTAATTTTGATGAAATCTAATTTATCTAGTTCTTCTTTTGTTGCTTGTGCTTTGGGCATCATATCTAAGACTCCAGTGACAAATCCAAGGCCATAAAGATTTATACCTATGTTTTCTTCTAAGAGTTTTATAGTTTTAGCTCTTATATGTAAGGTCTTTGCATTCCTTTTTGTACATGGTGTTAGGTAGGACTCCGACCTCATTCTTTTGCATGTGGCAATCTGGTTGTCCCAACACAATTTGTTGAAAAAACGATTTCTGCCTCATTGGATGGTCTTGGCATCCTGTTGAAAATCAGATGACTATAGATGTACGTGTTTATTTTTGGATTATCAATTCTATTCCATTAACTTATATCCTTAGGCCAATATCACACAGTCTTGATTACTGTAACTTGGTAGTTTTGAAATTAGAAAGTGTGAGTCCTTAAGCTTTCTTCTTCTTTTCCAACATTGTTTTGGCTATTCTTGAATTTCAGGATCAGCTTGTCAATTTCCACAAAAAAAGGCAGTTGGAATTTTGATAGGATTGCGTTGAATCTGTAGATAATTTGGGAAGCATTTTCAGTTTAACACTATTAATTCTTCCAATCCATGAATACGAATGTCTTTCCATTTATTTAGGTCTTCTTTAATTTCTATCAATAATATTTTGTACTTTCAGTGTACACGTCTTATACTTCTTTGGTGAAATTTATTCTTGAATATTTTATGCTTTTTTTGATAGGATTGCGTTGAATCTGTAGATAATTTGGAAAGCATTTTCATTTTAACACTATTAATTCTTCCAATCCATGAATATGAATGTCTTTTCATTTATTTAGGTCTTCTTTAATTTCTATCAATAATATTTTGTACTTTCAGTGTACATGTCTTATACTTCTTTGGTGAAATTTATTCTTGAATATTTTATGCTTTTTGATATTATTATAAATAGAATTTTTTTCTTAATTTACTTTTTGGATTGTTCATTGCTATTGTATAAAAATACAACTGATTTTCGTATATTGATCTTTTATCCTATAAACTTGCTGAACTTGATTTTAGCTTAATTTTTGGATTCTTTAGAATTTTCTACATATAAGATTATATCACCTGCAAATATAGTTTTACTTCTTCCTTTCCAAACTCTTATTTTCTTGCTTAACTTCCCTGGGTAGAATCTCCAGTACAAAGTTGAATAGAGGTGGTGAAAAAGGCATCTTTGTTTTGTTCCTGATCTGGGGTGGGGGGAACTTTCAGTCTTTTGCCATTAAGGATGACATTACCTGTGGCTTTTCACAGATTCCCTTTATCAGGTTGAGGATGTTTCCTTCTATTCTCAGTCTGCTGATTGTCTTTACCATGGAAGTGGGCAGAGAGGGAGCTGGACACAAACAGCCTCCCAGGCCTTGGGGATGCATCTGATTTTATTTCTAAGTGCCACAGGAAGTCACGACTGGGTTTTTAAGTAGGGGAGGGAAGCAAGCTTATGATTTTTTACAGAGTGGAAAAATGAGTGGATGGGGCAAGAACAGAAGAAAATTTACACAGGAGGCCATTAATAGTGCCAATGAGAGGGAACAGCTGATCAGACTTGGGAGATACCAGTGGAAATGGAGAGGAGGGGCCACATCCGGCTCTATTCTGAGGGTTGAATCAATAGGACTTGCTGGTGTGAGGGAAGATGGTGGAGGTGGGGAGCAAGCAAGGAAGGCGCTAAGTGGTAGCTTGGGTGGCTGAGCACAGGAATTTCTGAGGAAGAGATGTGGGTGTGGGCAAGAGAATTGAAACTTAGGATTTGGATCTCTGAAGTCTGAGATGTCCATAGATGTCCAAGAAGAGATGTCGAGCAGGAAAGAGACATTCCAGTCAGGAATTCAGAGAAGCAGGCAGGACTCGGTGTATACATCTGGAGTCATCTTGAAGCTGCAGGCCTTGGTGAGGCCAGCAAGAGAGATGGTGTGGGCACCAAAGGCAGGAGGCTTTGCACTGACGTAGGGCGCTCCCACGTCTTTCGGCATGCCCCCAACTCATCCCCAATTCAAGCGGCTTCTCTGTGAACCCAGACTTTACCTCTAGTTACCTTCTGCTCGGATTTCAGCCGGGCTCTACCACTCCAGAGCGGTGTCACCTGGGGCAAGTCACTGATCCTCCCTGAGACTTGGTTTTCTCATTTATCAAAAGTGGAGAGTAATCCAAGGTCCATGTGAGATTAAGTGAGGCCCCAGCGGGCACACTGTAGATCGTTAAGAAACCCCAGTGAAATGGGACAGTTCTGAGAGGCAGTGTGTTCTGCTGGCCCTGGGTCTGGCACAGAGGACAATATCAGGGAGACAGCATATCATGGCAGCAGGACCCAGAGATCCAGCAGCCCAGAGTGGGAGAGCTGCCTCACGTCCCAACCTCAGAGCCCCAAATAAAAAAATCCCAAACCCATCATCAGCATGGGGCAAAGATCTCACTGTATCACACGGCAAAGCCCATCGGCCTCTGCTAAACAGAGGAAAAGGAAAAGTAATCACCAGAATTGGTCCCCATCAAATCCAATGATGCTTTTTATAGGCCCTGGTATGCACTGTTCTGTACAGCGAGCTTCCAAAATGCCACTACTTTGAGCAAAGGGGGTTGGGAAATGGGCTGGTCCAAGCCCTAGTAGCACAAATGGGAGCTTTACAGACTCGAAGCAGGAAGAAGAGATAGGACGTGAAAGGCCATTGCATCCCAGCAGCTGTGACCTTCAAGCTTCCTTCAAGGTTCTGGATCACAGAGCTGCTGCTCTTCAGAAGGGCTCAAGCACCACCGACCCAACCCTGTGGCCACCTGGCATCTATCTTGCCTTTCTTTCAGTTACCACCCTGAATTTCTTCAGGGAGAATTCCCTCCCTGCCCTGGGCATCTTGATGGCATTGGTATCAAGGTGCCTGGCTTCCTAGCCAGGTTGGTCCATCAGCCTTCCTCTCCTGGACTGGATTATCTCCAGCAGAGCGACAGGATGACAAAACAACAATCCAACTAATGAAACACTGCCCAACCCTTCAACCAAGAAGACCAAACCCTCAGTGCACATGCATCCCAGAATGCTGCCTAGGCCTCCACCATAACCGTGGGCCTGTCCACTTCTGGCCTGGGTGACAGTGAGTACACCGGCGACTCAAAACACATGCAATACATTTTTCTTTAAAAAATTTGCTAACGTGAGCCAGACTCAGTTTCTGTTGCTAGCAAATAAAGATCGTAATGGGCTACCTACACCCTTTCCTTCCATCCTACAGAGGGCAGGAGAATCGATGCAGAGAAAGCAGGTGAGTCACCCAAGGCTACAGAGTCAAGACCAGAACCTGGGATTCTAGAACTGGGGATTTCAAAGCCCCCTTTCTTGTTTTCTTTGCGTTAAAATGGAAACAGTAATACCTACTTCTTAGTGGTATTAACGCTATTAATAATAATAATGAAAACAATAATAGGTGATGTTTTGGAGCCCTTAGGAAGAGCCAGGCATGATGCTAAGCTCTGCGTATTCACATTTGAGCCTCGCAACATCACATCAAGGTAAGTAATATTATTATCCCATCTTACAGATGAGGAAACTAAAGCAGAGTTTAGGTGAGTTGCCCGTGGTCACAAAGCTGTAAGTGGAAAGCTTCGAACCCAGGCCTTTCTGCTCCTCAGGCCTGTGTACTGTTAGGTGTAAATCAGATTATATGTCCATGCCTGGCACAGACAAGAAGAACTGAACATGTGGTAACTCCTTTCATTTTTAATACTTTTTTACACATACATGGAAGGAAATTTAGATAGATAACGTATCCATGGCGAGAAACTTAAAAGCTACGGAAGAGCACCCGAGGGAAAGTCTGTTGCCCAGTCCCTTGTTCACCCAGTTCCATGGCCGAAAGGCAACTTCTGTTGCCGGTCTCCCGGGCCCCTCCCAAAGATGACAGGGAATGACGCTGAGGCACAGCACAGCACGGCAAAGGTGGCGCTGCCAGGCAGTCTGTCTCAGGCTAGCTCACAGTCTCGTGTCCAACGTGCCGTGGCAGGAAGAGAAAATGCCAGTGCTTTTCTTAAAACAAATAAACAACAACAACAAAACCCAAAACCTGTTAGTTATTTAAAGGAAAAGAACGTTCCACATTTGTTGGGTGCATACTCCGACCCCTAGGGAAGCAGGACCCTGAGCAGGTGTGGGCAAGGGCCCTGGGTCGTGCGGCAGGACGTGTACTTGGCCCTACCATCTTCCGGCTGTGTGACCTTGGCCAAGTCAAAGCCCTTCTCCAAGCTTTAGTTTCTTCACCTACAAAACGAGGAAATCGACCTCAGTGACCCAAGGTCTCATGTTTGGTGGTGACCGTGGTAAACCGCAAGGTGGATAAAAGGGGGTGAATTAGCTCCTCCTTGCCCTCCTTGTCCAAGAAAAACCCACAGAGCAGGGATCTGGGAAAGAGCTCCTGGGGACAGTGCGGAGGCCTCTACCTGCACCTTCCCCTCAGGCTCCTCCCCACTTTGCCCAAATGGACGACTGGAAGATTACATTCTTCCCGTCCCTGCCCTCATACCTCATCTTGGGCTTATTGTGGACAGAGAAAATGCATCAAAATACAAGGCCAAGACTCACCCATGCCCCACCACTTACAGATAAGTTCCTATTGACCAGGAGGCCCAGGTCGCCGGGCATGTCCGTGTTCCGGATATCCACATCATGGGGCGACACGTAAAGCTTCGTGTTGTTCAGGTCAAAGAACTCAACTTCTGTGAGACCCACCCATGACGCATTGCCCCAGTTGGACAGAATTTCCATCGTCACATAGGTGGCATCTTTTAGCTCTTCTGCTCTCATTCTCAATTTGTCCTTAAAGAAGAGAAAAATAATAAAACATGAAAGGCTGAATTCAGCTCTACCTCTAAACAACAAGGTATTTAACCTCTCAATGCCTCAGTTTCCCCATCTGTACAGTGAGAATGAAAATAGCACTCGTTACATATGGTTATTATGAACATTAAATGAGCTCATGTTCATAAAGAATTTAAAACACAGCTGCTGTGTACCTTGGCACTCAGTATTTCCTGGAAGAGTTTGCAAATAACCAAAAATGATTTAAAGGCATCACATTCTGTCTGAACGTCATGCCTATCTCTCCCCCACTATCAAGTGTTCATGTCCTATAGGCAAGTCGCAACTTCTGCTGAATCGGGCAGGTGTTACGGGCTGAATTGTGTCCCCCGCAAAAATTCATATGCTGAAGCCGTAACCCCAGTACCTTAGAATGTGATTATATTTGGAGACAGGGCCTTTAAAGAGGTAATTAAGTTAAAATGAGACCATTAGGTTGGTTCCTAATCCATTTTCACCAATGTTTTCATAAGAGGAAATCTGGACACCTGGAGAGACACCATGGATGCACGTTTGCAGAGAAAAGGCCGTGTAAGGACACAGTAAGAGGACAGCCACCTATAAGCCGAGGAGAAAGGTCTCAGGAGGAACCAAACCTGCCAATACCTTCATCTTGGACTTCTAGCCTCCAGAAGTGTGAGAAAATAAATCTCTGTTGTTTAAGCTACCAGCAGTGTGTGGTATTTTGTTAAGTCAGCCCAAGCTAAATAATACAGTAGCTAACACAAGACCTTGGACAAGTCACTTGGTATCCCTCAGCCTAGTTGGGGAACATGAAATGACACCATCTATCTGACAATCCCATCGTGGAGACTAAGCGAGATGTGAACCCCAGAGCAGCCCGTCACCAGTCCCAACCCTTGTGATACTCTATAAGTGTCCATTTTGTTAAGTCAGCCCAAGCTAAATAATACAGTAGCTAACACAAGACCTTGGACAAGTCACTTGGTATCCCTCAGCCTAGTTGGGGAACATGAAATGACACCATCTATCTGACAATCCCATCGTGGAGACTAAGCGAGATGTGAACCCCAGAGCAGCCCGTCACCAGTCCCGACCCTTGTGATACTCTGTAAGTGTCCATTTCCTCCCATCTCTCTCCTTCATTGGTTTTAATGCCAATGGGTAGGCTGTCGAGTCTAGGAGAGGCTGCGTGAATGTCATCGATAAATGGCCACATTGCGGAATGGCTTCCTGAGGCCCCTTGGGCCCTGACTGCAGTGCTGGTCACCACGGATCAGTCACTCGTAAAATGGCACATTCCCCGCGTGCACATGGCCTCTGTTAATTAGCACTGGTAATCTGCAATGGTTCTGTGAGCAGGGAGCTGAGCAAATGAACGGCAACTGTTCTCTGCTTATTTTTTTAATTAATAGCCAGCGAGACGTGCTCTGGCTCTCAGCATGTGTTTGGATGAGCTTTGATTGCCACGCGGTGGGGACGGGGACAGGGAGGGAGGGAGGTCAGCGCATAGCTCCCAGAAGAACACGGGGCCTGTTTTCATTCGCTCGGCCCACAGACCTCACTACTTCCTCGTCTTGTGCTGTGTGGGGCTGTGTGGGACCCTGGCTAAGCCTTCCGCTGCCCTGGGCCTGAATCCCAGGCTTAGAGGATGGTGAAAAACCTAAACTGGCCTGGCTCAAATGGAGGCACTGGGAGGTTAATGAACTCGTGCTCGTGAGGAGGGTTCGACTGCCAGGTGAACGCTGCAGGAGGCGTGAGAAGCAGCACGGTTCACCTTGGCTCTTGGCAGTGGGGAGGAGGGCCAGATGGGAGGTGAGCTGCCTCACAGAGGGGCTGCTGGATCTCACGCCCAGTGCAATCTACAGCGTGCAAATTCCTGCAGCGGAGTTTCTAAATGAAGAAGCTGAAGGGTCTATTAACTGAAGAAGTGTCACAACTTGTCAGTGTTGTAACTCGATGGCCACTCCTGCTTCTGAATTGATTTGGGACCTGCCACAGGACCCGAGGTAAACGCTGGTTGGGAGGCTCCTGGTCCCTGGCAGTCACTGGCCCTCTTTCACCAGGACCCCTGATTTTCTTTGGAAGAAGTCACCCCTTCTCTTTCCTTAGCCCTGAGGCATAGAGGAATGGACCCTTTCCCACCCTGAGGAGGAGCCTGACATGTCCAAGGAATCAATGTGTCCTGTCCCCTGGGCCATCAGAGGGAGTGGCTCTGTGATGGGCACATGACCCAATCTCACGCTTGTTGGGGGGGACTGTTCTTCTCTCCTGACTGTAGGGTCTGAGGGCATGAGGGTGAGAGGTGGGAACCACTTCAGCTACAGGGGTCACAGGAAGAAAGCAGAGCTGGGACTGGACATGGTGGAGGGAGGGAGCTGAGATGCAGCTGACACTGTGGAGATACTGTGAGCTGCTGGCTCAAGCCCCACCTGACAGGAAGAAAGCAGAGCTGGGACTGGACATGGTGGGGGCAGGGAGCTGAGATGCAGCTGACACTGTGGAGACACTGTGAGCTGCTGGCTCAAGCCCCACCTGTCCCATCCGAAGCATTTACTACAAGACTATCATTTTCTTCCCTTTGTTGTATAAATCAGTTTCCCCTATAAAGCGACTCAATCAAACCAGGCTGTTTTCAATGTGACTGAAGTTTCACCACATTTAGAATCTTCACAGTTAAGAAAGCAACTTTCATGCCGCGGGGAGGGGAGGGAACAAAGCTTTGATTTTTCTACATGGAAAATTTTTAACTGATATGTACTGGTTCTCTTTTGCCTTGTGCCAGGCATTGAGCCATTCACCACCCCCTACCCCCTGCCCCAGGCCTTACAGTGGCCCACGGGCTGCAGATTATTTACCCAATTCAAGAGCCATACACTCCCAGGACCAGAGAGCTTAAGATGCTTGTCTAACGTTGCACGACCCTTAAAATGATAGTGTCACACTCGACACTGAAACTCATCTAGGCTAGTGCAGGGCTCTTTCTGCTGTCATATGAGTCGTGTATGTGGCTTCGGGAAGGCTTCGTGTCAAGTCCTCATTGGCCAATCATAAGATTGGTGACCACCGTACCAAATAAGAAAACTATAAGAAAGGCTAGGGTGAAGGAAGGGTTGAGAAGGATATGCTGGCACGCACGCCTTTCGACAAAAAAGAATCACCCATTACCCAGCACCCGGCGCCCCCTTCCTTTGCAGTGTGTCTCAGCTCCAGCAACACGCTCACATGGCCGTTCCTTTGCATGTCGTTGCGACCATGCTGGACTCGATGAAGATCAACATCACCTTGTAGCCTTGACATTTTCTATCTACATAATCTCCGCAATGATCATTTCCATCCTTTTCACCACTGCATTGTGCTGATATAGCGCGCTTTCCTGATTAACTTCATTATTATGAGACATTTATGTTATTTCTGTTTATATCTCTCATTTTCACTACTTCCAATGATTCAGAAGCAGGCACATTTGTGCCTATAGCTTTTTTTTGGGGGGGGGGCGGTGGCGGGGGTGAGTGATTTCCTTAAGGTAAGGAAGTGGGATTATTGGGCTGGAAGACATAAGCATTTCTAAGTCTCTTCCTAAGACTAGAGTTTCTGCTTTTCAAGAACGTTCCACCCATTTATATTGCCGCCAGCAGGGCGAGACTGCCAATTTTACTATAACCTTGGCAGCAGTAGAGGTTACCATCAAAATAATTTATTCACTCAGACATCCAATGGGACATTAAGGTTGCGCTAGTCTGTGTTTCTTTTTTATTTTTTGTGAACAGCCATCAGTTTTATAAAAAGACGCCACAAATTTTTAAATGATACAAAGTATCATTTTCAAAACAACATCAAAAGTGAGTGTATTTAACCGTACTCAGCTCATAACAGAGCAAACCAGTGAGTGGAATAATAATTCATGCTACAGCATGTTTAATAAACTGGCAACAGAAAAAGTTAGTTAAAGGAAAGCAGAACTTTGTCTTCTAAGAATCGGAAGCGAGGGGCTCCATAATCATCTGACATCCGCTCCGTGTTGTGCCTAAGGTTAGAAATGGACGTGATGGGAACTCCAGAGACCTTCCTCGATTCTGCGTTTAAGGTCCCAGCCAAGCGTGGCCTCAGCATAACACTTGTGCTCAGTTCCTCTCTGCACGCGGCAGTCACCTGCATAGGTTCCTTTGTGAGTGCATGGTAATCGTTCAAATTTTGGATCTCTGGCAATCCTGAGAGCCACTCGATACTTCTGCCTCGATTTCTCAGTTTTGGCCATTACACAGTCAGGTCTGCAAGAAATCCACCTGGCACTAAGTCCAGTTCAGCTTCAATGGAAAAGTTGATAAAGCTGGTTATCAACCAGGATGGAGTAAGATGGGCCCAACTGTGTTATGCTAG